GTTGTATAAAATAGGTCGTCTATTCTTCTCCATGACAATTTTTTGGTTCATTTTTCAGTGTACAGACGTCGGTTTTGTTTTGTAAATGACGTTGTTTGTTACAACAACGACGGTGATTTACCCTAACCGCTATTTTCACGTCAATATTAATGGAAAAAACGAAGTGGCATTACTATTGCACGACGGTTATATAAATATATTAGACGTCGTATGATTTAATAACGTCATATTTTATTTATTTAAAGACGTATTGTATTCTTTTACACGACGGATGTTGTATAAAATAGGTCGTCTATTCTTCTGCAGGACAATTTTTTGGTTCATTTTTCAGTATACAGACGTCGGTTGTTTTTTGTTAATGACGTTGTTTGTCATAACAACGACGGTGATTTCGCTTCGTGGTTTTACTTTGCAAAAGACGTCGCTCGATTTTACGACGGTTTGAAAACCAAATTCACGACGGTGAATTCCCGTCGTCTTTTGCCTTTTTTGTAGTAGTTTGAAAGCACCTTATTAGCTGCTTTCCCAAATAGCTTTCTCTCATAGCAATTTTTAACAATAAGTGATTTTCTCATAGTTTACCAAACGGGTTGGGCTTTCCAAATTTTTTTTAAAATCACTTATTATCCCAAATAAGCAATACCAAACGGGCACTAAATATGAAATCAGCTTGAGCACTTATAATTCAACAGAATCATTGCTCAAACGTAAACTAATATAGCTGCGAAGAGCATTCGACAATTTGTACATAAAATCAGTTCCAGGGGTGATTATATTTGAATCGGAGACTTCGTTTTCCTTTTTTGGTAACACTTGTTTGCCTTCCAATTCAAACTGTCTTCTCAGCTTCTCTTCTTCAGCATCCTATACAGTTGATACCAATATTTTGGGGCATAAATTTACGTATTTGTATAAACTAATTTAAGCGGGTATAAGAAAGTTTGTGTGATTCAGAAGCATAATATATTAATTAAAAGCTTAAAACCCACAGCTAATTCCTTGTCCTTGGCAGACTTGAAACGCCTGGCACGTTGTTGATTCATTTTAGCCCTTGGAGCAACTCCATCTACAAGAAATCATCAAGTTTATATCCTTATATAAACTACTTCAAGTTCATATCCTTATATAAACTACTTCAAGTTCAGAGTATACATATAACGATACGCATATCAACTAAAGTAAAGAGATGATCAAGAAAAAGCAAACATCTTACGTAAGTATTACAACATAGGAAAAAAAAAAGAAAGTAAAATTTTGTCACCTATGGCCATGTATAAAAGCTTCCTTGGTCGAACAACGTTGAAAAAGAGATGATCAAGAAAAAGCAAACATCTTACGTAAGTATTACAACATAGGGAAAAAGAGCAACTCCATCTACAAGAAATCATCAAGTTTATATCCTTATATAAACTACTTCAAGTTCAGAGTATCCATAACGATACGCATATCAACTAAAGTAAAGAGATGATCAAGAAAAAGCAAACATCTTAAGTAAGTATTACAACATAGGAAAAAAAAAAAAAAGTAAAATTTTGTCACCTATGGCCATGTATAAAAGCTTCCTTGGTCGAACAACGTTGAAAAGTGTATCAATATATTCAAAATATTGACGAACACCTCTTCAAATCTAGTTGGTTGCACCTGAATAAATACAGTAGAAATTAAAATATATAACTAAGGATAAATTAAAGAAAATTTGAAAATTCTTATAGCTTGTGAAGAGAATATATAGGAATTAATAAGTTCATACTCCATCTTCGTCTGATTCCGGGTGAAAGCAGGGATGGATAATCCCATTCATGTCAAGATAAAGGTTATCAAACTCAATGCCATTTGGGATTGGTGAGCTGGTGGACTCATCTCTCTGGTCGGCAATGGCCTTGACCACCACTTTGGGATACTTGTTGCCCAGCCAACGGAAGAAAGAAGGCACCCCCATTCTCTCTCTCTCTCTCTCTCTTGGAACTTCCAACACTTGGAACTTTACTTGCTTCATTCATGCAAGAAGAGAGAGAGAGTATATGAATTTTTTTTTGGTCAACGAGAGTATATGAATCAATTATACTTTGTTTTGCGCGAATATTAAAAGGGAAAAATTTCGCTCCTTAAAATTGAGGATGAGTCCTCTTTAAAACAAATGAGGTTTTGACACTTGTCAAAATTTTTAACTTTTTTAACTTTTGAATACCTTTAATTTTTCTTTTAAAATTTGACAAGTGTCATAATTTTATTTATTCTAAAAAAGAACCCCTCCTTAAATTTACGAAATATTTTTGCTCACCACTTTAATCCAAGGTATATCTTCATTACCCGTCTTAATACTTGACACATATCTATATGTATAATCATAGTTAACTTTTTGCTTTGTATTTATGGAACTATAGTTATGCATATAAACACACGTCAAGTATTAAAAAGAATAATGAGAATACCCTTGGATTAAAGTGGTGAGTAAATATGCTCTCTTAATTAAGAAGTCCAGCTATGGAGGAATGGAAAAAGACTTTGCTTTTACTCAGATTATCTTTGCTTTTTTAAAGAGCCAGAACAATCGTAATAAAGCCTAATCATGTTTATATGTTCAGATAGACAGGTAAAAAATAATAAATTGTTATTAACCAGACTCTGTAGAAATTAAACTCATTAAGAAATATCTCTAGGAAATATCAACTGTCATGATTTGCACGAGTTCCCAATGGGCATAGGACCATTGATTTGATTATGGCTTATCACTCATTATTATGTGTGGTCCCGAGGATGATATCATGTTGTTAGGGGGAAAAAAACAAATTACAGAGAAGTGATAGCATTTTTACACATTTTTATCACTCTAAACACTTTAATTAAAGATGTATACTAATCGTCTTTAATTAAAGATGTATACTAATCGTCTTTCTCAACACTTGACATAAGGAGTAGAGTCAATAAACGATTAGTGTGGTCTCAAGGCCTAAATCGTCTTTTATTTATTGTATTATAATATTATATATGATGTATAATATTTAACATATTTGATTAGTTTTAGGAGATATTTATCCTAAAATAAATAGTAATATTAGGTATTTTTTGTCTACAACCATAAAACTTCTTAATCTCTTTTTTACTTTCTTAATCTCTTTTTTTCTTCTCTTTTACCTTCTAGGTTAGTTTGTGATATTTACACTAAAAACTCCTACATTTTGAACCTTTCTCTCTCTTTATCTTTTGTTTAAGTTAAACTTCACAAATTTTTATTTCTCTCTCTTTTGTCATGTTTGAGTTGGGTACCTTAATATTAGATTTTGTGAACCCTTTTTGTATTTCTTCTCTATGTTGGAATATAAATAAGGGTTCTTCTAAATCCAAAATATCTAGCCATCATTGGATTTAGTACATACCTTTTTTGCTGTAGATTTGGGTCCATTGACTTTTATTAAATTTTTCTTGTGTCAATTTTACCCTTTGAGGTAAATAAAAAAAGAATATTAATTGAAAATCCAAATTAATGTATCGATTCTTTCCTTCTAAATGGATTTCATATTTTAAATTTTGAATCCTTCTATTGCTGCCATGACACATCTGTATATTAAAAAAAAACGTTTCGTCAAGTAAAATACTTTAACAATTAACTATTGCAATATTTGCCTAACATATAGATAAAATACAATTTAAGTCATGAAAGTAATGACCCACATATTTTATCTTACAATGAAAATTAAGGCCCTTAGGCAAGCACCAACATAAAACTGTACCTATCCATAAGGTTGATTTGTGAGGTTTCAAGCATAAGAACAAATAAAAAAAGTTCATATAAAACAATGAAAGTAGAAGTATTATTGATGATGTCTTCCCAACAAATATTTACCTGATTACTAAGTAAATATGAGATAATATACCTAATTATTAGGTAAATATAAAATAATGTACCTAATTACTAGGTAAATATAAGATAATATACCTAAATATTAGGCAAATATAAGATATTGTACCTCATTATTAAGTAAATAGGGTATGTGACTTCTTGGAGAAGTTGGAGGGCTTAATGGGAAAAGAATTTGGCTCCATTGACTTGTTGGTGAAAGTTGCAGAGATTGTGGCTGAGAGATGGTTCGGATTGGTTTAGGGTAGACAATATCATAATTATTATCATAAAAATTAATTTCTTACCTTATTTAATTTTTAAGGGCATGATGGGAATAACCAAGTAATTTAAAAATGAAAAAAATAATATGTAAATATCAAAAAATCAAAAAAGGAATGTAAGCATACATAGCACAAAAGTCAAAGGACTTGTATCAACAACAACAATTACAAGGATGGCATCTGTTGGCACTAAAACTGAACAGATAGAGATGAGTGCAACTTACAAGTGATGTGGACGATCTAGAGATCGATTGAGTGTTAGACGCGGATTCTTCCTGTCCTTGGATGCTGATCCTGAATAGAAGGAAGCCGAGACTCGTAAGGTTTATGGAACCGGTGTGGAACCAGCCTAAGACCCTCCGATGCCAAAATAAGTTTGTTTCTAAGAGCTTTGCTGCTGACAATATATTTAACATAAAAGTCAAGCTGAAAAGTCTTACCCTTGTATTGTAGTGAAGGGGCCTATTTATAGAGGGCATTTGGTATGCTCTTAGTACTTAATTTTGATGTGGGACTCGTGGGAGGGCCCTATGAGGTTGACACGAGTTTTTAGATATTTCGGGCGGGCCCTTCGAGGTTGATTCTGCAGAATCGGTAGGGGGTACCGATTGTGGACTCTGCTTAGGCGGCATCGACCGTTTGCTACTTTGAAGCCATACCATCGGTAGCCGATACCGATCGTTAGGAGCCTTGGGCAGTTGGGGAGTTTCATTAATTCACGTGTCACTGAATGAGTGGAGGGTCAGATATGGTACAAACAGTAGTCCCCCAAGTTACCGATTGAGAAGCGACTTCTTGGTTGGGGACTTGAATCTATCTTCGGCATTCTGATCCGGACACGATGGTCTCGTTGTTGCCGATGGTGGCATGTAGTCCCCCAAGTGCCCGAGCGAGTGAGCTTGGAAAAGAGACGGCATGATGTACCGAATGGTCCGAGAGGTGTGTAGGTCTGGTTTTAGGAACACCTACCGTTCGGCACGAGAGGTGAGTCAAAACTCATCAATGTGCGCCTGCCGTTCGGCACGAGAGGTGAGTGAAAACTTGTCACGCCCCAACCCACGGATTTACGTAACCTTGAATCAAGATGTGATTCACACCTTAATTATAGAATTTTATAAATAAAAAAACTATAACTAAAATGTGAAGAAACATTTAAATAAATAAAGTAAATATTTCACATAGAATATTCGAAACAACAACATC